ATCCTTGCTTCAACATTTTTCTGATATTTTAATAGATTTCTTTATGGTACAGCAAAGAAGCATGTATGTGGATTTATCAAAACATTAACCCAATGTTTTTGGTTATTTTTATGGTGATGTATATCAGCAGAACTATTAACTCTATACTATATTGCAGAGGAACAAGGTCTAGCCAAGCTTCATCATCGATACATCCATGGGAGGGCTATAAATATCTCCCACTCTTCTCTCCTCGTCTCCTCCAGCACTGTCCGAGCTTCTCCTCCCTCCATCCACAGCCTTTCTTTCTAGCTACGATTTCCATGGCTGTCACACCGTCAAGTGAGTGAATTTAGACAGGATGTTACAGTGACAGAGGAGGTGTAACAACAGAAATTAAAGCCCCACCCCGTTTGAAGAGCACAATGATCAACCTTGCCAGCTGATTACTTTCTTGTTTCCTGGCAACGCGATAACAGGGTTTCCCACATGCCCATCGTCATCATGATAGTTTGTGTGACAGGAAATATTTCCCGCCCTGATTTGAAGTAATTAAAGCTGAGAGTTTAGCATGAGCTGGGGTAGTTAAAGGAATTAATCAACAGCTCGATGCCATTTCCTCTGTTAACTTCTCTACTAACGAACTTCCGCGGGCTTGAAGAGCTGCAAAACATGTCTTGCGCTGCTCGCTAATGACAGCGTTTCATCCTGGCATCCAGAATGGTTCATGCTCATCTCGACAAGTTAACAGATAAATTTGTTTCTGATCACTGCTGCCAACAAAGTGTCTGGCTCGGGCAGTGTTATTGCATTTTATTCGGCTATTTGGCTATTTTCAAATGTATTTTATTGAGGAGTTTGTCTTTTTCTGTTTCTGTGTCTGACTGAGCCAATCGTTTACATCCATTCATGTGGCTGACCAGAAAGAAGAGGTAAGGAAATGTAATGAATCATGGTAAGCTTGCATCTCAAATTTGGAGGTACAATCTGAGTGATATCCTAGTGGAATAAGAGACAGATTTA